CTCTCCTTTCTTCCACCTTTGGAATCTCTAGTTTCCTTCAAATAAGAGTTTAGGCACCACTTCCAACATGAGGTCTTTCCTGATTAACTCAAAGGGCATTTTCATCCTCCATGTGGGTTTATACCCCTTTGGAGAATGATTGCGGCCACCAGCACACACAGTTCTAAAAATGTAGAATGTTGTTGCCATGGCCCAAGACCTGTAGAATCTGAATCTGGGGTAAGTAGCTGGGATAGAGACATGGCTAGATAGATGAAAGATAGATGATGGATAGATAGATGGTAGATAGACACACAAACTCACAGATGAGTGATGGGTAGATAGATAGATAGATAGATAGATAGATAGATAGATAGATAGATAGATAGATAGATAGATAGATGATGGATAGATAGATGGTAGATAGACACACAAACTCACAGATGAGTGATGGATAGATAGATAGATAGATAGATAGATAGATAGATAGATAAATGATGGATAGATAGATGGTAGATAGACACACAAACTCACAGATGAGTGATGGATAGATAGATAGATAAATAGATAGATAGATAGTCACATGGACACACAGATAGATAGATAGATGGTAGATAGAGAGATATAGATAGATACACAGACACACAGATGGGTGGGTAGATAGATGATGGATAGACAGATGGATAACCATGATAGATAGATACACGGATGGGTGGGTAGATGGATATAGAGAGAGATAGATGATGGATAGATAGACAAGTAGATAGAGCATTTATTAAGCTCTTACTATGTGCCATGCACTGTCCTGAGAATATTAACCAAAGCAAAAAGAAAGCCAATGGCAGAGAACATGGCTGGTCCAGGTACTTCCCCAAATGGATGGTCTGGGTAAAAACTCACCAATCAGAGGAGGGAGCTCTGGGGCAGAGGCACCTCCAGGGTGAAAAGACAGCAGGGGTAGAGGTAGACAATTTCAGAGAGTAAGAAGAGGGCCTAGGAGAGAAAGTAAGGCCATATTTTAAGGAATTCCTCCTCTCTTTCCACCACTCCACCCTTCTCTAGCTCACATGGTTCCCACAAGGGAGTCCAGGATCCACTGCTATCATTTCCTCCCAAGTCCCGGACTGGCGCCTTGAAAGAACCATTTCTAAAAAGCAGAGCCAGCTGTTGGAAAGACTATAAAATTCTGATGCCATAAGACACCAAAAGGTTAGATTGATGTTGAGCTAATAGAATCCATAGATGCTATTGTTTTCCTATTCTAATCAGTGCCTTTAAAATCTACTTATACACAAGACTTTTGAGCTCTTTTCTCGTTCTGGGTTTATTTTCTCAAAGCCCTTGGGGTTCTGTAAAAACTCTTAGGATGCTGGTAAGCCCTTTTATTTCTCTTCAAGCTGGAAGAGTGACAGGCTTTAGTTATTCTTAGTGCTAAATTATTTATCTTCCTTCCCCTCCTAGCCCATATTTCAGAATCTTTAACTTGACTCCTGGGATCCAATAGAGGTCTTCCCTCAACCCCACCCCTATTCAAAATGAAGCAGTTTTTAAATCTTTTGTCTTTAATTTTTTATCACCCAAACTCTAAGGCCAGAGTTTGGCTATGGAAGCCTATTAAAGGTACAGGGCCTGGGCTAATTTTGAAAGAAGTTGTTCCCAGGTCCTTGGTTCTGTGCCCCTGGTCTTCTGTGTTTGTTATAGGCTGGAGCTGTACTCTCTCAATGACATGGGAAGCAATAGTAGTGAGGATTTGAATGGAGCTGCGGGTGGAATCATTCTGGAATGTGGCAGGGTCCCATGAAAATTCCATAGATTAACAAATATTTCTGGGTTCTGGTGGACAATTGATGCAATAGGAAGACTGGTTTCAGGTGGTGGGGTGGGGAGTCCTTCCAAGTTGGGGGTCTTCATTGTTGTTGTTATTGTTGAGTTGTTTCAGTCGTGTCTGACTCCTTGTAACCCCAGTTAGAGTTTTCTTGGCAAAGATACTGGAGTGGTTTGCCATTTCCTTCTCCAGCTCACTTGACAGATGAGGAAAACTGAGGCAAACAGGGTTAGGTGATTTGCCCAGGGCCACATAACTAATAAGTATCTGAGGTCACATTTGAACTCAGGTCCTCCTAATTCTAGGGCTGGCCCTCTATCCACTGTGCCACTTAGTGGCAATAAAGTGGGGAGGGAGGATCTTCACAATTGCCCATAAATTTGCCTACTGGGATTGCTATCAGGAATTTATAAGCCTCTTGTAAGTCACAACCACATCGTCTTCCCTGCCCCCCAAGAGAAAACTGTGCAGAGAAATAGAGATCTGCCTTCACAGAAACAAGAGATTATTCATGAAATACCCCTTCTCTGTCAGTGTGGAGGTGGGGGACCATGGATGTGGAATGTGTTATACGGGTGAATGTGTCACATGGGTTTCCTTAGATGTTTTCTTTGTTGCAAAGAAAGGTTTTAACGTGGCAGTTGGCAAGGGAGTTTAAGGGGAAATAATTATGGGATAAAAACAAAAGGCAACAATAAAATGTTAATTTTTTAAAAAACAGACTATTCAAGTTGTATCTCAGGGAGGCCGAGTTGGTTACCATAGTTACCCAGGATATTCACTAAGAGAGAAAGCCAGTAGAAAAGCAAAGGCGATGATTGCAGTGTAGACCCATCCAGATAATTGGAGTAGCATCTGGTCCCCAGCTCAGAAAGTATCTCCTCATTGGCCAAATATCTCACGTGACCCGGTGTTGCACCCTTTCTCCAGCGCCCCCTCCATGGTGGAGATGCTGGATCCGGATGGCGGTCCAGCCATCTCCTGGGGTGGGGGTGGGGGAAGAATGCAACAAGTCCCAGCGCAGTGACAGAATGGATTGGCCCTCTCCCTCTGCGAACCCGTGAAAAAGATGATCTCCCTTTATTATGTTCACTGGCTCTATTGATTAAATCCATTTTTCTATTTAAGAGAGAGAAAAAAAGATAATCTTCCTTCCCACAGCCCATACTTATGAACTCTTAAGTGATGACATCCCAAGCTCTTCTTGTCAGGACTTAGTCCTACAAAGTGATTACCGCGATTCAAGTACCATCCCCAAGCTTTGTGTCTAGGAGATAGCAGCACATCGGGACGGAATGAGTGTGTCATATCTGAGATCTGATTAGGGCATGGGAAGACTTAAGCATCTCAGTGTCACTCAAAAAAGAAAATGTGACAGTCCAACACCGAGCCTCAGCCAGCACACCCCACCCCCAGCGCATCGAGGCTTTGGGAAGAATGAAGAATAATTGGGTGAAGGGGGTGGGGGCTCTCCAGTGGCCCTGATGCAGCCTGCCTCGGCATGCTGCACTGATGGGCTCCCGCGCCCCTCCAGCCTGCTCCGGGTTTATTCATTGCTAAAGAAGAAATCGTACTCCTTCCTTTAAAGCCAGATTCCCTAGCATCAGCTCTTTTCTGAATAGTTTCTAATTTTTTTTATTCTCCCATTCTTCTTACTCAGAAGCTTTTTTTCCTTCCCAAGAACAAATCACCCTCCTCCATACATATTTTACCCTCCGAAACTTTTACTCCATCTTCTCAGTCACCCCAAACAGCAATCTTCACCCTCCCCCAAATGTGGCCACCCTCTCAGTATGTTTTCCATCCAACCACCTGGAGATGTGCAGATTTCCACGTTGAAAAAAGAGGGTGGGTGCCTAGGAGTCGAGTTCTTGGTGTTTGGGAAATATTTTTAGGACAGAAAGAAAGGTCATTCCATTGTATATGGGTATCTGCATATGTTATGACATATGCATACGTCAAGCTCTTGGTCATAATATTAGCCAGGTAAGTCATACTTTATCTGATGGGTAATGTTCACATGTCATATACACATAGAGGTATATAAATGACTAATGTTCATATGTGTATGTACATACACATATAAAACTATATGTATATATGGATACATAATAATAACAATAGCGCTAATAGATCTCTTTAAGGTTTGCAGATGCTTTACAAATACCATCTCATTTGAGACAACAACCCTGGCAGGTGGGCACTATTATTATCCCCGTTTTACAGATGAGGAAACTGAGGCAGACAGCAGCTAAGGAACTTGCCCAAGGTCTCACAGGTAGTGTCTGAGACCACATTTGAACTCAGGTCTTCTTCCTGATTAGAAGTCCAGCTCTCTCTCTCTCTCTCTCTCTCTCTCTCTCTCTCTCTCTCTCTCTCCTCTCTCCTTCTTCCTCTTTGCTCTACACTCAGAACCCCTCCATATACCATGTGCCCACCTCCCAGGGTTGTTGTAAGTCTCAAATGAGATTATATTTGTAAAGCATTCAAATAGTTTGGGTGAAATGTACAACTTACATTCTATAACCCTTGTTACTCTTGTGATCTCAGTGAGGGGATGGGAAGCAGCAAGGACACACAGAATTCCATTAGTCTTGAGGATAAACCAGACCATTAGAAATTAATTTGCCACAGGCTCTGTTCCCTGCCAAAGGATGTTAACACAAGATGGGTCTTCAGCCCCTCTGTGTGTGCACACACCCTTTGTGGGAATATTCACAGTGCCTGACACACAACTGAGCCCTAGTTCTTCCTGCCTGACCCCAAACCAAGCTAGGAAAGTTGCTGAAGACCCATGTAGAATGCTCCACAAATTTCATCCGGTTCACCTGCTTCTCTCCAGTGATCACCAGCCAGTCTTCCTGGGAATCAGCTCACCCCAGAGAATTCCCCAGCTGGGTATAGACAGAATCACCAGGCTTCCCACTGGGTTCCAAGAGGAGCCTTTGCAGGCTCAGGGCTGACATACTTGGGTGCCATCTCAGTCCTAGTCCTGGTTCTGTTTCTGTCGTGCAGCATAACCTCAGGCAAGACATTGCCCTCTCAAGACAGGGAGAGCTCTGTCACCTGTAAAATGAGGGGACTGAACCAGAGGGTCTCTGAGATTCCTGCACCTCTAATGTTTCCAACCTTTAAAGTCTTGGGCTATTGGCTCTTCTCTGGTAGCAAAGGACTTAATTGTCATTTTCCCTTGTAGGAATAAATCGCCAACCTGTCAGAAAGAGCACTGCATAAACCATCCCCCGTCATCTTCAGATACCTTCACGGCATATCCAGGTAAGCATGACCATCAATTCAAATTCAAGACCCAGATTTTCAGAGGGGCTTCCCTTTACCCTCCACCCCCAAGGAAGGTCTTCCCTGAGCCCCTGGGCTGCCCTTTAGCCCTCGAGAAGCTGACTGGCCAGTGTGCCCTCCAGAAATACAGAAATCTGTCCCTCCAGCTCACAGAGCTACGAGCCCCAAGCAGGTGTTAGGAGCCTTTTTCCAGCTGTAATTTTAAGATCAGAATAGCCAGGACATGATAACCATTTGTTTCAACATCTGGAAAGATGCACTGACTGCTCATTTCCTCTGAATGTGCTCCTAAATGCAAGGTTTATTTAGGCTATGGAATCGCGCAAAATCCATGGCAAAGCATACAATCTGGACCCTGAGAAGTTCTAAATGTCTGTAGTCAGTTCTTGTGGCTCTCGATGTGGACTGGCCACTTTGTGGAGTGTCCACAGCCAACTCCCCTGGGCCCCTGACATGGCTGGCTGCCTTTGCTACTATCTTAGGAGTTGGTGTGTGTTCAGCAAAGGTAAGCTCATGTTGGCATCAAGCAAAGACAATGAAGAAGGCAGTGAGTCTGCTGCCCTTAATCCTCTAGTGGGCTCTCAAAGTAGAGGGCAGTGATTGGGGGATTAGGCACCAACTTCAGTATCTATGGTGTGATTCCTGTCCCTTGATTCAGAGATTCCAACTCAATGCAATGCAATTCAACCTACATTTATTAAGAGCTGACTGTATAGGTCAGACATTATGCCAGGGGTTGAGGACCCAAGGACAAAAGCTAACCCATCCCTGCTTTCGGGGAGTTGACTTCTCTTAAGGAAATCATAGGGAGGAAGAAACATGTCTGCAGAAAAGAAAATGATGATAGCTGGGATGGGGTGGGGGAGGGGGATCATATAGGAAGTAGCACCTGAGCTGTACCTTTAAGGAAGCCAGAGATTCTATGAAGTGAGGAGAGAGGGCATTGCAGGCAGGAGGGATAACAACTGAAAAGGCATGGAGGCAGGGAGAAAGAAGAGGAAGAGGAGGAGGGAGAAGAGGAAGAGGAGGAAGGAGATTAAACTTTATTTACAGGGAATAGCTAATAGGCCACTATGACTAGAGCAAAGTGTGTGAAGGAGAGTAATATGTAAGAATATTCTAAGGGTAAATGTGAGCCAGATTTTGGAAGCCATTAAATGCCAGGTTCAGGATTTTGTATTTTATCCCAGAGGCAATAGGGAGCTAATGGAGATAGATAGATAGATAGATAGATAGATAGATAGATAGATAGATAGATAGATAGATAGATAGATGGATAAATGGATATAGATGGATGGATAGATAGAGAGATAGATAGCAAGTGAGTGCTATGTCTTAGCACTATCACTTTGGCAGCTATGTGGAGGATAGATTAGTGAGAGGAGAGATTGGAGATAATAAGACTCATTAGAAGGCTGTTGAAATAGTCTGGGTGAGAGGTTATAAGATCTGGACCCAGGGCAGTGGCTGTGTGTGTAGAGAAAGGGAGATTGATGCAAGAGACATTGGAGAGGCATAACTGAAAAGACTTGGTAGCCAATGGAACATGAAGAAGGAGAGAGAAAGGAAAGAGTTGAGGAAGGCTCCAGAGTTATGAATCTGAGTAACTGTAAGGTCAATGATGCCCTCAACAGAAACAGGGACATTTGGGGGAGGGGCATATTTGGGAAAACATCGTGAGTTCCAGACTATTGCCTTCTAGCCTGGCTGCTTTGGCGGTGGAAGAGAAGTCTGTCTTTCTCAGCCCTTTCGCAAAACAAAGACCGGGTCAAATGTGAGAAAACTCCTCCAGAAAGATGCCTGGGCCTCTGAGAAGGGACTGGGGATGTTGGAGGGAGATTCTTGGTGGATCCCAGTCTGGACTGGGAGGCTTCCAAGGCCCCTTCTAGCTCAGAGCTTCTGTGATAACGGTGTCGAGCACTTCATGTTCAAACTCCTGGCTAGCAGAGAGGCCTCCTCTTTCCATTCTTACTTCTATGACCTCTGCAGGGCTTCCTCCATCTCCAAGAGTCTCATTGGCTGAAAAATATATCGTGTCATATTCTGAAAATCCTGTGGCCCATGAACTGATCTCTAATCACGGCTGCGTGTTAATGACCACAAAATTCATAAACCTTTACTGAACGACTTTCTTTAAGCATGACTCCATTAGCTTTTACGGTGACTTTATGGTTATTGATGATGCACAAACGTCCACCCCGAAAGGGGAGCTGTAATGGCAGAGGGTTCATGAGCAGCTGCTCCCAGACCCAGGGCAGTAACTGATGATAGCCCTGTAAAGACTCAGGCAGTTCAATGACAAAGGATACGCAGAAGCTTTCCGAGATGTGGTCCCAGGGAAGTCTGAAGGAAGTCATTCCCCTTCGGACTCCAGCCTGGTTTATGGTGTCAGAGCCACTTGGGATCCAGCCCATAGGGAGCTCAGAGACCATCTAACTTGACATCCCATTTTACAGATGAAGAAACTGAGGTCCAGAAAGGTTAAGGATCTTGTCCAAGCATCCAGGTAGGAAGTAGCACAGAATAGGATTGGATCCCGGGTCCTCTGATGCAAAAGTGAAGGATTTCCTCTATACCAGACTGCTTCCACAGCACAGGAAACCTCAATCGGCTGATGAATTTTCTTCATGGAAGAGCCTTGATTTGCACCCTAATTGTATGGGGCACTGGGCTAGGCTCTGTACCCAAAGAATTACCCAGACATTAGCCTGCTCTTCAAGGATGAGCTAAAACGTCATCTTGGGAAGACAAAGATCGGGAGAAGATTTAGTCTATGGCTTTGAGACACTTTCCAGCTTGTCTCTTCTAGGATGCGCAGTTTGTCACTCCAAATGGGGTCCTTCCACAGCCGACCACAGCAGCATGCAAATCCCTGGTTTGGAGCACCACATCTCTCTCAGGGCAGATGAGGAGGACAGAATTTGATGTCTTATTGGCCAGATGGCACCAATGGCTCTCAAAAGTGCAGTTCCTCCAAGTCCCAGATCTCTTCCACAGGAGCTGTTGTCCTCCCATGTCTCCCATCCATCTGGTCCTTAGAAAATTAGGGTTGGTTCTGAACCTGAGCCCAGAAATTCTCATTTGTCCTTATTGAATCTCATCAGACTCATTTTAGCCCATCATCCTAGCCTGATGAGGCCCTTTTAGATAGAGGAGAAAAAGTGAGGCCCTGAGAAGGGTGCCCAAGGGCACCCAGGTAGCTGAGTGGGGGTCTGAACCTAGATCCTCCTCTATGTCCAGGATATCCCACTATGGCCATCCTCTGAGATGGTGCTTGTTTTGGGTCTTGAAAGGTACATAGAATTTGGGCAGGGAGAGGGTGAGAATCATTGAGTGCAAGGGCAGTGCCGTGAATAAAAGTCCAGAGGTTAGATGAATCCTGGTGGGTATGGGGCAGTAGGAGGACTCTGGCCCAGCTGGAGAGGAGAGTTCACATTAGGGAGCAGTGAAGCAAGAATGGCTATGTAGGATATGGCTATATCATGGAAGGCCTTACATATCAGGGGGAGGAGTTTTGCCTGCATACAGGAGGACGGTTGTTCCCAAGGTTTTTGTTCCATAAACTCCTTTCAGCAACAAAAATGTGTTGTGAACCCCCAAAGTAATTTAACAAACTACTCATAATATTTTACAATATTCACTGCTTCAGGTGCCACTAAAGAATTCTTATCTTGAACCCCTGGGAAGACCCAAGAGTTTTACCTACCACTAGATGGAAACCACGGTAGACGGCAAGGGGGACTCCAAGTGTCTTAGGTGGAAGATCAAAGCAGGAAGAAGCAAAGGCACTGAGCAGCCCGTGACATGATGGTTTTCCTGACATCAGGCCTAAACTGGCTTCTTCGCCATTTCTCCCCATTACTTCTAGGCCTACCCTTAGAACAGAGCACGTAACTCCTAGTTCCACTCAGACGAATCCCTCTTCCACAGGACAGATGTCCAGACACTTGAAAATCACCCTCGTGTCCATCTCCCACCTCCTCTCTCCACCAGGGTTTAAAGCCTGCTCCACCCCACCCCCAAATGCCCATTCTTCCATTATTGAGTGGTTCCATGATCTCCAGGCCATCATCCTGCCCCCACCAGCCACCTTACTTTGTCCTCTGTATTTTTATCCATGTTCCCCATAAATTCTTCCTAGAGGATCTACTCAACACATCACCAGTTCCTTAAGGGCAGAGACTGTTTTGTTTTGTTTGGTGGGGAAGGGGTGGCCTTTCCTTGTATTCCCAACACAGCACAGAGCCTGGCACAGAGTAGGTACTTAATAAAATCTATCTTACTAACTGTTACCAGACATCATCTTCTAGGACTTGGACTTTTAATATCATAGGACCATGTCTCCAGAACTGGAAAGAACCTTAGAGACATATAGTCCAATCCTAGAAAATTGAGGCCCAAGAAGGGCTCCCACTTACCCTAAAGTCATTAAAATAATTAATTTAGAGCTTTCAGGAGCCCCAGAAGCCATCTAAACCAACCTCCTCATTTCACAGAAGTGGAAACTGAGATAAGGCCCAGGCCATGACGTGACGCCCAAAGTCCCACAGTCATAGAGCATCCCTTGTCCAATGCCCAGGCACTCATGGTGGAGCATCAGCATGTCCATGATGGATATTTCTCTAAAGGATTGGTTGCTCATGCTTGAGCATGTGAGAACCTCACCAAGATCCAGTGCTCCAGGGAGTGTTGGGATTATTATCCCCATTTGAGAGATGAGCAAACTGATTGATTGCCCAAGGTCACATGGCTAGGAAGTGTCGAGTCTTAAGTGCATGTCTTCTTGTCTTGAAATCCAACACCCTATCCATTCTGCCAAAGGCAGGTACTGGGGTTGAAGGGTTATGGTGGACGAACTCACCTAGCCATGTCAGTCATAACTACAGCTTGGGGGTAGGAAACAGATGGGGAATCAGAGACCCTGGGCTCAGATGTACCTCCAGGGTCACCTTTCTGAGGAGAGAATTCCTTCTCTCAAA